ATATATATATATATGTGAAGACCTGGAAACTCCTCACAATGCATGGAGGCTTCCACCCAAAGTCCAACACCCAGAGACTATACACCACCTGGAAAGAGGGTGGACTGGGCGAAATGGTACCCAGAGACGAGCTGCTTTGAGAACAGACTAGGACCGAAAACCAATCAGAGGAAGTGCCATGGCATAATAAGGCCCTGTATGGGATGTACCAATGACAGATAACCGAGTTGGCTGATATTGGGAAATCCTACCAGTGCCTACAAAAGGCCGGCCTATCAGACACACTGAGGCACTGATCATAGCACCACAAGACCAGGCTCTAAGTACTCAATCAATTGAAGCAGGGGTCTAGCACACCAGACAAGACCCCAGGTTCAGACTGTGCAAAGAGGCCTCAGAGACACTACAACACATAGTGGGAAGATGTAAAATGCAGACAGGAACACCATACACTCAGTGGCAAAATATATATATATATATATATATGTATGTGTGTGTGTGTGTGCATATGGGAGTGTTTCTGAAAAGTTAATCTAGTGGATGATTAGCACTTAGGAGTCCTTGTCACAGTTTTACAAGTTTGCACTCAGACTGCCACGTGTGTAACTGATGTAAATCCAGCCTGAAATGCTAGATATAACATCCCGCTATAGATAAGCCATATGAACAAGGTGCTGCCAACCAACCATGTGGGGCTATCATGGAGGAGCATCTGCATCTAGCCCCGCACCACAAAAGAGCGCTGTCACTCAAACCTGCGGCATCATCTCAACCATCAGGGTCAACATACTTGGGAGTAAAGAAAAAAAGTTCAACGTTGAAATGTGACCGTTAACAACATTTCTACCTACATGGTTGGACGAGGGGCAAAGAACAGAGAGTGGATAGGTGTGTGATTGTGTTCTTTAAGCTTCTTAGGTATCAGTCAGAGAAGATTTACTGTCTACACCAACTCTCACTGTTATGAGGTCAGGCAGCTTGTGCTTTAGGAGGCAGCCAAGCTTTTCTGATTGGAGAATTAAATCCTCTGTTCCGTATTTCCCACTCCCTTACTACCTCACCCTCTTCAAACACTACATGGCACAGCAATGGGTTGACAGAGCCATCAGCTACCCCCCTGAGTTAGTATTTCAAAATTCATACTACAGAGCTTATTTTAATGTATTGCAAATAGTTGTTAATTTATAGGTCAGTGGTAACTAAAGTTTCATTAAATGTATTATTTTGGTCCTAAAACTGGACAGAAAACATCTATGTAAACTGTAAACTGAGGGCATCATCTCTGAGTGCCTTTCTGTCATTGAAGGTCCGGGAAGCCCTACTTAGACACAGATCTGTCTGTAGTAAAATCTCTCTGGGTGTGTCCAGATGAAACCTTTATGCACAAAGTATGGACATATTGTATTTCTCTAAAACTACATTGTCCTGAAGAAGCCACAAGAAACGAATCTAAGAAAACATTACTGTTATCTCTGCCCTAAGCATCCAGGTTTGCTTTGCGCTGCTGGGACAGTGCTTTTTGCCATAATTCATGTCATCTTTACTGCATCGTGTGTTTGTGCAATATTGTCTTTCTCATAGTTCTCAATGTGTTGGGCTTTTGTTGCCATACATTACAGTTAATATTTTTCATAAGCACTCCAGCACAGTTAACCTCAAATCACAAAAACGTTACTTCAAATATGTACTAAATACTCAGACAACTGCCACACCTCAGCTGCCAGCTGACATGGCCAGATAATGCTAAAACAAAGTGCAATACTGTGTGTATTGAGTTCTATAGTGTTAGGCATGCTTATTTAAAACAATTCAGTTTATAGTTTTCATGTTATAGTTTTTGTTGGTCTAGAATCTGTCCAGGGGACAGTACTAAATATCTGCACTTAATTTCCATTTAGTGTTACTCAGGGAGATAGCTGGGCTCTCTGTCATACAATGTCTCTAGTTAGTCTAGCTGGCAAGACAATCTTGCACCAACATAGAAGACCTTAAAACCTTGATCACTGTGTACAGTACATGTTCCTGTGAATGTCTGATTACAGAAGTATCAAAGCTTTTACCTCTGTCTAATATCACTATTAAGACTTTATTGAGTTTGTCATAGATGAAATAGGATATTTAAAACAGTAAATACAGTAAAATGGATTATAATCTCTGAATCCTGTGTTTGTTTTGTTGTGATCTTTTTGTTGCTTCAATTTTATCCTTATATGTACTGTTTTTCTCATCAATTTAGTGTCCTTTTTGTCTTGGAGAGATGTAATTCTATTTTTGTTAAAGAGCATTTTTAAAGATGTCTCCCTAAAATGTTCTCTTTTGTCATGATTTCTCTGTTTATGATATTTTCACTGTATTTTAAAATTATTATTATTATTATTATTAAATCAATCTAGGTTTTAATAATAAAATAATTTATATGTCATGAATATAAAGCCCGAGGTGTGAACACAGTTGTGTTATTGCACAATGGTAAAACAATATGTAGATTTAAGAATGTAATAAAAGTCTTTTTTTATATATTAAAAAATGATTTTCTTGTGAATATACATTAAGTGCCGTAGTGATGATAGGTAGGCCAGTCAAGTTTCCATCACCCTGGTTCCCTTGACAGAAAACGCATGGTATTTTTCCATAGGCTTTTGGGTTATTCTGGAAAATAACCTCTGTGACAAATTAGCAGTTTATGACACTAACATGTTGTGTTCACCAAGATCATCTTCACAAGTGAACACAACTCATAGGATTTTTGAAGCCCAAACACATTCACCGCACGTAAAGAGGTATTGTTAGGCTATAAACGAACTACATTAGGGCCTAACCAAAAACCCATTTAAAAAACCCACTGACTTCAGGGCAAGGGAACCGGAAGTGCAAAAATGTTAACTCAGTTCTGGGATTTAGGTTGGCTTTATTGCATTATTGCATAAAGCCAAGAATTGTAAAATGGTATTTTCTCTCTTAGTAGGCTATTGTCATTTAACATTATAGTTAGCCTACTCAAAATTCATGTATATATATATATATATAATAAACCTATTAGCTGCTACTCAGAGTGGATTTTATAACATATATCATGCACCACACAGATGGATTATACAGGGTTATTAAAAAAAGAATGAACCGATTTCATTACGCAATATTTTATTAAGGAAAAGTAATACCAAACTCCAGCCAAGTCACAAGTATTCTACTCACAATCAACTTTTATTCCCTGTCTTACACGTGTTCAATGCGGCCACCACCTGCCGCACGGGCAATGCGATAAGTGAATCCCTTCCAGGCGCGTATCAGCATATCACCGTCCACAGTTTGTTCGCTGACAAGTCATCACGTTCGTTTAATGTTCTAATTTCACCCATATTTGCCAAGTAGGTCTACTCATATTATTTCTCTCGGTGTCTATAGGAGGATGGGAACATTTGGCCTGCAACTGACAGGCAGTGTGTATGTCCTATACCCAGCAGGTGGCAGTGTGTACAACCCTAATAATCATACAATGACATACAATGACTACTGTATAAACCTTAGGAAACCGATTTCTTCATACTGGTTAGCGCAGATTCGGCGCTTCATATAACGTAGTAGTGTGTCCTAGATTGTTTATGCTCGTGTCTTCAGTTCGTGATGTAATATCATTGTATTTTGTACATTTACCTCCGATATCTGCAGCGCCAGACGGAAGAGTCACCCTCGACGTGTACGTGGTCAGTTGGCGTGTCCCGACTTGGAGTGACGGTTGTGTAGACCTATGATTCCTCCTAAACATTTCAGCCCTGGCCCCTTTTCTAATAAACTATATCGCTAACTTTGGTTCTGTCCTGACCTATTTAGTCCGTCATCGCAACTTGAAGGAAGTCGAGCTTCAAGATGTCTGTAGCGGGCTTGAAGAAGCAGTTTTATAAAGCCAGTCAGGTTTGGAAAACTTTTTTTAGTTAGCAACTGTCACGTATACATTAGCAGCTAGCTTCCGTTAGCATTAACTAGTAGCTGGCTAGCTGTTTTAGCTGGCTAATAACGCTCTGTTAATGTGCACGAAGCTAATGTCGCAGACCCGTTGTATCTGTGTGTAAAATGAATGTAATGTTTTATTGGCACTCTTCTTTTACAGGTAAGGCTAAAGTTGATTAGCATTTTCGTTAGATTAGTGGAACTAGCGTCAACTAACTTTAGCTAAGTAACTAAGCTTCACGCTAAGTAACGCTAGCTGTTTACAAGTATTTCACATTTTGTGTAGTTACTTTACCCAACATTGCACCAGATTCAGTAAGTACACCTGCTGTAGTAAACATTAGTACAGTTTACCCGAGGGACTCTTTGGTTGAGTCACTAAAAAACAATACACGAAAAAGTGGTACAATATAAACTGAGCCAGTATAAATACGGGGTATTCATGGAAGGGGGAAAAATTCTCCATTTCCAGTAGTGGTGTAGTGTAACCTGAGGAGTTAGATTTGAGTAATGCCACAGTTATCTCATTCCCAGCGGTTGTCTTTTGTTTAACCAGTATTAGTGCAGCAATGGAAATGCTAAATGTCACAGTTCACCATTGATATACAGTTTGATGTTTGAACAGTGGTGCGAATCTTTTTAAGTGTGAATGCTTGTAAGTTATTTCACTTATGGGTGGGGACAGTCAAACTTTTTTAGTCTTTTTTTTCCCGTCCTATTTCTGCTGATCTAAGCAGGAAAGACATTTGGTTTCTGCCCCAGTTTCCTGTCAGGAGCAGACACAGATCCCAGTTGCTTGGTTGTGAGTAAAAACAACACCATGTAATGTTAGGCCTGTTGGTACTGGCTGTAGTGGCAAGGAATGGCGAAGGTGTTTGAGGGAAATAAGTGGATTAGTGCATGAGAAAGTGACCCAAATTGTGATGTGAAGAAGGGGTTTGAGAGAGTTTGCTTTCTCTTTATTTGACTGCAATGCAGCTGCACTTCTTGCCAAAGCTCCATGAGAGTCAATAACTCCTGACATAGCTCAGATTTTCTACACTAGAGGCATGCAGGAAGTTGGCAGTGGAAATGATATCTGTGGCCTGTAGCTCACACATCCTTGTTTCTCTCTTTTACTATCTCTGCCTCTAATATTTTTGTGAGAATTATTCTTACAACTTGATGCTTGTATTTATAGTTATGTGTTTTCTTACTGGTTACAAATGTATAACACTCCAAGCTCTGTAGTTAAAGCCTCATGTCATGGTTGCTGTCCTTGTCTTGAGATAAGTACATACACAAACAGGCAGTATGATTGATATTTATTTTGCAAGAATTTTCTTGGCTCAGTGTACAGTTGTAGAACTGGCAGATGTCTCTTCAAAAGCTGCACCCTTTACAAGCATCATATTTTAGTCATTCTGGCCTTTTATGGTGGTCATAATGGCTGATGAGATAGATCAGCCAGGAGAGATTAGTTTACAGATATGTTGATTAAAAGTAAACAATTGGAGTTGGGTACACTTCTAATCTAAGATTAAAACAAATGAAGCAGAAATAAGTGGTATGCAATGTAATCCCCATTTTAGAAAATATTCTCTGGATTGGACCCAGTATAGGTGTAGGTGAAAGGATAACATGATCCTTGGAAGCAGCAGACAACACGCTACAAGTGCAGCTGATTGGGTTAATCCAGATTAAGGGGAAGTGATTTGACAATATCTCCTTCATGGTGATATGAGTTTGCTGACCATCAGAAATGTTCCCTTGCTGCTTATTCACATTCCTTTAATGTCTCTGGCCCTGTGAGTGCTTTCAAATTGAGTTGGACATCTTTTTATCAACATTTTTGTATAATTTTTAAATGAATGCTATGTTTGTGTTCACCAACTACTATTTAACAACTAATTTTCATATGCAATATGTAAAATAAATTTACATTAGTCTGCTGCTTTCCCCCTTTGTTTTGCTACTGAGCTGGTATCTAGGCCTCTGTATGAAACACCTTTCCGATCTTCAAGTTATCTGAAGTCAAATAAGAGCTTGAGCCATGCTTTGTTGTAGTGCACTACCATTTAGCAAATATCCAGTCATTATGATAGAAAGGATACCTGTTAGTCAGATTTCTGTGTTGCTCTGTGCGTTGTTTATACCAAAACTTCCCTTTTGTGGATGTCTTCTGGCTCCATTGCTTTGAGCCTGTGTGCATATAAACTAAATGTTACACTTGTATGACAACTTGTTTTCATTAGCAGATGAAGAAATTGCAGTGCAACAGCACTTAGTGGCCTACATATTATTCTAACAATTCATTTTTCTATTAACACTAAAATCTCAAGTTTAGAGCTTATTACAAAAATAGGGAATTAAATCTACAAGTGTGGTAAGCCAGGTTCGAGTGCCCAAAAAGATATGATAGCAAACATGTAGGACTTCTGTGTTATCTGTCCTCAGAAGTAGGGAGTCAAATGCTGAGTAGGAGTGGAGGCTGTATCTTTACTTATGACTTGAATCCAATCCAATGATTTCCTCATACAGCAGAGAGTCAGCTGTATAATATGTTTTGTTTTAAGTATAATTCCTGAATATTTAATCTGTGTACTCAAAATTAATATCTGTATGTTGAACAGTACTGTTCACTCACCTATCATAAAATAACCGAAATAAACATTTCCCCTCAGACCCTGAAAGTCTTGTTGCATCCAGTAATCACAAAATGGTCACAACCACCATTTGGTCACTTAGGAAATGACTCAGACTGCTGTTGCTGTATTACAGTTGAGTGAATCTGACTAAGAAAAATCAAGGATGGGAAAATTGCATCTTCATTTCTTATCCAAAGGATTGGATATGTCTGATAAACCATTTCACACTCATATCCCACCTGAAAAGTCAGTATTCTGCCATATTGTACATGCTTGTATAGGCCAGGGCCTGCAGATGTATATTTGTCTAAAAACTAATTTTGTTTAAATGTTTGACCAGCTAACTCAATGGCATTAGAATCCCTCGCTGTTGACAGGTGTAGCATTATTTCAGGAAACTCATAATGCCACCTGACTGACTGTTGTACAGAATACAAATCTAATCTAGTTATTTAAGTTCTTTCTCCCTTTCTCAGTTGGCCTCTCACAGTGTTTCATTAACGGTCCAGACAGTGTGCTCTGTTAATAATACTGTGTAGCAAAATAAAGGTTAACACCGGGGTTGATACAGGTTCCCTCAAAACCTAAATGCAAAAAGAACAAGATTCCTTAAAAGTATTACTACATTATATGTCACTGGAATCATGACATAAATCAAAGGAAAGAATGAGTGAGTCACTGTGCTTCCCATTTTATCTTTGCAGAATAAGTTTACAAGTTACTCTGCAACCAAGGTCTGTTGTTGAGTGCCACTTTCATTATCTGAATGGTGGCAATGGGAGTTGTTCTTCTGCCCAGTGGCCACCTGGAGAAACTCAGATATAAAGCCTTATAGCTCATGGACACTGCAGTCAAGATGTTAATTATCTTAAAGGCACAGCAGTATGGACTCACTACAAAGCCAGAAGATTGGTTTCACGTTATTGGTGTGATTTCTAGAATTTTGCTATAGTGTTAGCTGTTATTCACATTGCTACTTTAAATTCACCTGCCATATGCTGTGCTCCACATATACATTTTTCTACACAGAGCAGGTGTGTGTGAAACACACACACACACACTTTTTTTTGTCTTTCCTCCAACTTTCTCTTCTCTGTCCCTTTAGATGGTAAGTGAGAAAGTCGGAGGTGCTGAAGGGACTAAACTAGATGATGACTTCAGAGACTTGGAACGGGTAAGAGAGGAATCTCTTCTGTGGTCTCAGAAGAGAAACTTCTTTCATCTGTGCTGTAGGCCTCATTGGTGTTTCTCACAGTACACAGACACATTGCTGCTTTTGTGGGACTTCTGTTTTTGCCGTTTACACATAGTTCATGCCCTCAGTGTTTCAGAAAATCTTTTAAGACCATGTGGAGGGCATAGAAAACTTACTGCCATTAAATTCCTGAAAACTTGTTTAGTGGAATAATAGAAAATCAGTCAGCAACATTTCAATACATGTCAAATTGTTTAAGTGATTTTGAAGGCAAAAATATGAGAGAATTTCTGTTATCTGATCATGTAAATCATTGTTAGAAGCATTGTTAGGTTTACATTTTCACTTTTGTTTGTCATCAACAATACAAATAAATGTGATGTATGTGTGCTTGCTGTGTTTTGTAGAAAGTAGATGTGACCAGTAAGGCTGTAGTGGAGGTGATCTCCAAAACCTCTGAGTACCTTCAGCCCAACCCAGGTGAGAAATAAACCTGTTTTCACACAAGTTTATATAGTTTAAATTTCTTGATTACATTTAGTTTCAATTCCCTTCTGCAGCATCACGGGCCAAGCTGTCCATGTTGAACACCATGTCTAAGATCCGTGGGCAGGTGAAGAACCCAGGCTATCCTCAAGCTGAAGGGCTGCTGGGCGAGTGTATGGCCAAGTATGGACGAGAACTGGGAGAAGACACTAACTTTGGTGAGATGTGTTAACATAGTAAAATCCTAGCAGGTGAATGTTTGGGGGTGTGTGTAATTACCGGCTTCGATGTGTGCATGTTTGAGCTCTGTTTGAGTATTGTTTACTATGAAAAGCTTTTGACAGTTACTTTTGGCAGAAGTACTGTACTCATGTCTAATTTCTGATATTATCTGTATGTGTTATGTGGCAATATAATTGTTTGGTATTGTATTATAAATGTATTACTGTCTGTATAAATTTACTACTGTCTGGTTCAGGTGGAGCACTAGTGGATGTAGGAGAGGCCATGAAGAGACTGGCAGAAGTCAAAGACTCTCTAGACATTGATGTCAAACAGAACTTTATTGATCCTTTGCAAGGACTCTGTGACAAGGACCTCAGAGAAATACAGGTATCCGACACACTGACGTGCTATTTTATGACTGGGAAATAAACTGTGTGTCAGTTCATTAAACCAACTATGTCTTGTACTACCTCAGCACCACCTCAAGAAGCTGGAAGGTCGTCGCCTGGACTACGATTACAAGAAAAAGCGTCAGGGCAAAATCCCAGATGAGGAGGTTCGACAGGCCCTGGAGAAGTTTCATGAGTCAAAGGAGGTGGCTGAGACCAGCATGTATAACCTGCTGGAAACTGATGTGAGAGCGTAGTTACTACTGATCAGTGTGCAGTGTTTGTGTGTCCTCCAAGGCATCATTTTAAGACCAAGCCCTCTCATCAGAATCTCAGAATCTGCTTTGTTGGCCAGGTGTGTCGGACACAATTTGACTCTGGTATAGCCCAACTTTAAAAGTTGTTTTCACATTCAAAAGTTAGGGGTTCTTCTGTTATCTAGGTCATCAGCTGTAAAGATGGAATTTGAAGCCTGATAATTCATCATACTTAACATCCCAGTATTTACCCACTTTGAACACAGTGGGAAAAGAACATTTACATGCATCAAATACAGTCTAAATAGTGATCCTGGAGGCCTTTTAGTAATATATATATATATATATATATATAAAATGTATTAACGATATTTATATTTTTTGTGCTATATAGTGTATATTGCCCCCTTGTATCGTGTATAGCATTGCATCAGATTTTTCATGGTAGAGCTTGCATAACCTTCACTTTACCATAAGAAGGCTGCTGGGTAATACACACGCATACAGTGCATCCATAAAGTATTCACAGTGCTCAGCTTTTTCCAAATTTTATGTTAGTCTTATTCCAAAATGGATTAAATTCATTATTGTCTTCAAAATTCTACAAACAATATCCCATAATTACAATGTGAAAAAGTTTGTTTGAAATCTTTGCAAATTTATTAAAAATGAAAAAAAAAAAATCACATGTACATAAGTATTCACAGCCTTTGCTCAATACTTTGTTGAAGCACCTTTAGCACCAATTACAGCCTCAAGTCTTTTTGAGTATGATGCTACAAGCTTGGCACAACTATTTTTTAGTAGTTTCTCCCATTCTTCCGCACAATATCTCTCAAGCTCCATCAGGTTGGATGGGGATCGTTGGTGCACAGCCATTTTCAGATCTCTCCAGAGATGTTCATTCAGCTTCAAGTCTGGGCTCTGGCTGGGCCACTCAAGGACATTCACAGAGTTGTCCCGTAGCCACTCCTTTGTTATCTTGGCTGTGTGCTTAGGGTCATTGTCCTGTTGAAAGATGAACCGTCGTCCCAGTCTGAGCTTCAGAGCGCTCTGGAACAGGTTTTCATCAAGGATGTGTCTGTATATTGCTGCAGTCATCGTTCCCTTGATCCTGACTAGTTTCCCAGTTCCTGCCACTGAAACACATCCCCACAGCATGATGCTGCCACCACCATGCTTCACCGTAGAGATGGTATTGGCCAGGTGGTGAGCGGTGCCTGGTTCCTCCAGACATGAGTTCAATCTTTTGTTTCATCAGACCAGTTTTGTTTCTCACAGTCTGAGAGTCCTTCAGGTGCCTTTTGGCAAATTCCAGGTGGGCTGCCATGTGCATTTTACTGAGGAGTGGTTTCTGTCTGGCCACTCTACCATACAGGCCTGATTGGTGAAGTGCTGCAGAGATGGTTGTTCTTCTGGAAGGTTCTCCTCTCTCCACAGAGAAACGCTGGAGCTCTTTCAGAGTGACCATAGGGTTCTTGGTCACCTCCCTGACTAAGGCCCTTCTCTCTGGATCGCTCAGTTTGGCCGGGCGGCCCACTCTAGGAAGAGTCCTGGTGGTTCCAAACTTCTTCCATTTACAGATGATGGAGGCCACTGTGCTCATTGGGACCTTCAGTGCTGCAGAAATATTTCTGTACCCTTCCCCAGGTCTGTGCCTTGATACAATCCTGTCTCGGAGATCTACAGACAATTCCTTGGAATTGTCTCATGGCTTGGTATGTGCTCTGACATGCACTGTTAACTGTGGGACCTTATATAGACAGATGTATGCCTTTCCAAATCATGTCCAATCAACTGAATTTCCAACAGGTGGACTCCAGTCAACTTGTAGAAACATCTCAAGGATGATCAGTGGAAACATGATGCACCAGAGCTCAATTTTGAGTGTCATGGCAAAGGCTGTGAATACTTATGTACATTTTTTTCCCATTTTATTACATTTGCAAAGATTTCAAACAAATTTTTTCACATTGTCATTATGGAGTATTGTTTGTAGAATTTTGAGGACAATAATTAATTTAATCCATTATGGAATAAGGCTGTAACATAAAATGTAGAAAAAGTGAAGTGCTGTGAATACTTTCTGGATGCACTGTAGGACAAATACTTTCCGTTACACCTGCAAGGACTGATGAAACATGCCTGTTCAGTACAATAGCACTGGCACTGTAGGTAAACACTCTGCAGTTGAACAGTTATAATATTTAATCATTGTTTGGATTTAGGAGTAGGAGCATTTGTTTGCCCTGTACATGACTGCAGGTGAACACACCCTTAGGTGAGAAGACAAAAATGGCTTCAAGCATATACTCAGCTGCCAGTTTATTATCGTAGGCACACCTAGCTAAACATGCAGGCTAATTCAACAGTCCTGCACTAAGTCCTCCTCCATGAAGGTGACAGTGCTCAGTTTTTTGTTTAAGGGGTATATCAATTCAACTGTATGGTCATTTTGGAGGCTGTGGTTTGTGTTGCTATTGAAGTGTACTACATTATACAGAGACATTTGTTATGATAACCCTCATTGATGTAAATGGATGGACAAATGACAAACACCTGTGGGTATAACTCAACAGCAGCACAAACTACATCCTCAAAAATGATCATAAATCGATACTTCAGTACTGTCATGAATTAGTACTTCTCTAAAGCTGTTCTATTACAGTACATCTTAGGTTTAATACTGAGAACTAGTTGCCAGTGTGAATATGAATACAGTGCTACCTGAAGGAAGTCTCTCTTCCATAATTTGTTGTTTCCCATGAGTTTTCAGTCAGTCTGTATTGTAAATTTGAGTGTGAAATGTAATTTTGGACCTTTGAATTAGTAGGTTGACAAAATAATCTTAACTCAAAGTCTGCTGTAATCTGTTTGAGGTTAGATGATCCAGAAAAATCAGACCCCGAGTTATGATTCTTTTGTGAGGTGCATTAGAGTGTGGATACCTGAATCAAGCCCGAGGGGATCCGTCACTTACCTGAGGATTTGGACAGAAATTTAGAAACAAAATCTTTGAGGGGGGGTCCAGGTCAGGTTTGGACACATAGGTCAAACTTAAGGCTAGACGGCTGGAGCACTCAGATTTCTGCTTCATTTCATAAGGGGAAAAACACTGTATGTTTTCAGACGCCAAACTCTCGGGCATAGGTCAGGTTCGGACAGAATTTAGAATGACTTGAAGTGTAACTTCAGCAAAATGATATTTTGTTTGTTTATATGTGTGTGTGGGTAGATAGAGCAGGTGAGCCAGCTGTCATCTCTGGTGGAGTCCCAGCTGCAGTACCACAGACAGGCTGTGCAAGTGCTTGAGGAGCTTTCTGACAAACTTCGAGACAGGTGCAGTAATTAAACCTGGCACAAATTCCAGCATTGTACCAGTGTGGTACATCTGACTGTACATCTTTTCAACACTGGTTCAGTCACAGCGGTTTAAGACAAAATTATGTATTTATTGTGGAGATTTGCAAATGTTAGACTCAAATTGGTGTCATCATCTTGAACAGGATGAATGAGGCTCAGTCTCGACCCAGGCGTGAGTACACACCCAAACCCAAACCTATCTTTGATTTCGGAGACAACAACCATTCAAATGGTGGCTACTCAACCTCAATGGCCCCTCCACCTTCACGCAACTCAGGTAAACAGCTGATGGGTTTGAGAACATACATTCATTATCTATACCACTTAGTCCTAACAAGGGTCACGGGGGGCAATCCCAGCTGACTGTGGGCGAGAGGAAGGGTACACCCTGGACAGGTCGCCAGTCTATTGCGTGGCCTACACTTAGAGACAGACAATTACACACACACACACACACACACACACACACACACACACTCACTGCTATGGGCAATGTAGATACAGTTTCAAAACAAGGTATTTAATATTTCTGAGTCAAGATTATGTAAATTTTGTAATTTTACCGTGAGCACACAAGTAAAATAAACTAACTCAGTGCCAGAATAATGACATGGCTGATTGTACAGTTGGCACCAGAGAACAGGTGGTGTCTTGACCAAACAAAGAACCACAAAAACTCACTCTTGCATTATTTTGTATTCATCCTTGCATATATCATAGGATATATGGAAAAGAGCTGCCATAACAGTTCCAGTATCAACAGAACATCGAGGTGCTTGTACATGCACAGAAGATAAACTAAGCTAAAGAAGCATGCCTGCATTCTTAGAAATCTGACAGAAACTAAACTGGCCCCCATTTCCAAGACCTGCAACCAGTCAGCACCACTGAGCAGAATTATGCGAAAAAATTCAGTGCTTTTTTTTTTCCAGTCTGTTTAACTGAATGTTTGAGTCAAGAGTCACACAGCGGTTGACCATGAGAACACGTTTCTGTGTGTGTGTTGGGGGGGGGGTCGTGTCATCTGGGGCCAATCTCTCTCCAACTGACCTTGTTCCTCTGTCCTGTGACATCATCAGAGCCATCTTTTCACTTGGCCAGATTGCCTTTTCGGAAACCCAGATTGTGTGAGTGGCAGGCTGCGTGGGCAGATGGTCCACTGTGTTTGTGCAGCTTCTGCTGTGATGTGTGGGAACTATGATATAAGTTGCTTTGCATTAAAGTTGAAAACATAATTGAAAGTGTATGGTGCATGTATAGTTTAACAGCATGTATGTGTTTTCATATGAAAGCCACATCCTGTCCTTTTGATACTGCAGCCTGACTTGCTACAAGTATTCACAGCACTGCAACCACTGGGTGGCTGTTTTTTTTTTTTTTTTTTACACATGCCCTAAAAGAACAGTCAGGATCCTCAAGTCAAGGAACAACTGACCATTTTAAAAAATGTTTTAGAAATTCAAATGCAACACTTTAATGTTGTCACAGAATATTTTTTGTATTTTTAATACATTTCAGTCAGGTTTTAGAGCTCCACGCAGATTCTGAAGAAATATTTCTAAGGTTGTTTCAGAGTTGGTTCTTTTCCAAAGACTGTAGACTGATGCAGTATGATGTATAACACAGAGACTGAGTGACCAAAGCTTTCCCCATCTCTAGCTTGCCCAGCAGTCTGTTTGTTGAACTTGATACAATGAGAAAATTGTTGGGTGACAAAAAAGCCTAGTTTGTCTGCATGTGGAGCCCCACTCTCCTCTGCTGATCTGTGTGAGGCCACTGAGGAGTGGACAGATAGCAGAAACGATGGAGGGAGGGAGAACAGCCCTACAGAAACCTACTGTCATAGTATGTTGTAATTTCTAGTCAGAGATTAACCCTGTCAGCACGCATGCACTTGTTTGCAGTGCTGTGTTGCAGCTGATGTGACTGTACCACATACTAATTGTATACATGCAGTATATAAACAACAATGAAGCACAATGTACAGTAGATTCTCTCTTCTTCTTGCTTCCTTTTTCTCAGCCCCGGAGCAGCCGAGCTGTAAGGCGTTGTATGACTTTGAGCCTGAAAACGAGGGAGAGCTGGGTTTCCACGAGGGCGATATCATCACCCTGACCAATCAGATCGATGAGAACTGGTACGAGGGCATGCTGAATGGCCAGTCAGGATTTTTCCCTCTTAACTACGTCGAGGTCCTTGTTCCGTTGCCACACTAATATAAAGAGAGCAAGAGAGGAATGATGAAAGAGGAGAGAGGGAGTAGAACTGGTCGAGATTGTGGAAAGTGAAGCCAAGAGATGGTCCTCAGAAGATCTATTTCCACCTTCAGCTCCAATGTTGCCATCACAGACGAGCACTTTTCTGTCATCCAGAGTTCTGGAGGAGACTGTCACATTTAAAGTCCAGACCAGAATTATCAACCTATTCCACCTAAAGGTAAAAAGAATCCTAGACTAAGATGGACACAAAATGTTTCCTGTTATCTGACAGTCATACACATTTCATGAGGACGAACTGATCAAAGAGTCAAAAGCAATAATTTTTTTTTATCCACAGATTACTCATACAGTAAAGAGAATTTGTATTAAATCTGATTATGATGACTGGGTTGGCACATTTGTCATCCTCTTTGTGTGACTGCAGTCTGTTTAAAACTCAGGTTTGTCACCAGTTTAACAGTCAGTTTTCAGACTGGAGAGGCCCAAACCTCAGTAAACTTGGAACTTGACTGAATATTTTGCTCTTTGTGCCCCTTGAGGACTGGAGAGCATTTCTTGATGCCACCTGCTGGCGTGACTGAGAATTACTTTTAACTAAAATAGAGCTATACATGAACACAAATGTTTTACTAGTTGGACTTAAAGGAAAAAAGTACTGCTTCACATTTTTTATGAGAAACATGAGCCAAAATTTGCCTCAGAGTTGTGATTTAGACCATTTTCAGGTTTTGGCCTGTTTATTAACTCTTTCTAAATATCCATTTCAAAGCTGCCCAGTGCTGATAATAGTTCTAGAAGAGGCTCTTTATATTGGTTCAGTATTTTGATTTACGTTTGTTTCAACTTACTACAGTAGTTTGTAAGAGTAGAACTGCTTACTGAATATGTGGGGGGGGGGGGGG